GTCTGGCAGCATCCCGTTCCCTTTTCGCCAGTCGGAGCAGCTCCTCTTGAACCATTGCTTGTTCTTGCTCATACCTAGGGGAGAAGGTGATCAGCATCCACCTGGCTACAGGCTCCCAAGTTAAAATGCATCCCTCTTATCCAGAACCACATGACGGAATTACATAAGCAACCAAGCTCTGGACACTGGGGTATCATAGTAATTTCTAGAGCACATTTTATTTTAGTAATGTCTAATGCCAACCTTCATGTTGCCAAGATGACAAATAATGCAAAATCTCACAATATAGTCAATACCACATTTTAAGAACACAAAAGCAAAGCAGGTCACCAGCTGCAAAAACAGAGACAGAAGTATAACAAAAACTTGTTCCCTAAAACAGAAGACAAAAATTACAAATAAAAAAAGTATTTTAAAACACTTAACAAAAATATAGCAAACAGTGAAATTAGCAAAATTGACAGAATTAGCGCAATTGCATGATGCTAGGTTACACAAAGTTGGCAACCTTTTTACAATTTCTGGAATATGAAGTATCATTTAAAGATTAATTTGTATAACTGTGCCACTTTTCTATAGATTCTTCAGAGGTGAGATAGGACCCAAAGAAAGGAATATCGTGTTAGATAAGAGAATAATAGATCACAAGCAGGTAGCGGAAGAATTGTGATTTTGGATAGTACAACATCTTATTATGATAAAAGTGGTATTGAGATCAATTGATAAAGTATTGTATTAATATAGAGGATAGGCCAGTTATTAAATTATTCTAATAAATGTTGTGAGATTGAAAACTATTTTAGATTGTAAATTAATTTATAAAACTAATGTATGATCTTGAGTATTATGTCAAATGTTGAAAACAAGACTGATTAGTAAAATTGGGGGAAATTACAAACAATGCTAACACACACAGTCAGTCAAATGCCTGGGTAAATAGAAGCGATTTTATCTGGCACTTGAAACAAAGAGATTAGTTGCCAAGGGAGCAGCCATTACAGAAAAATGCTCTTTCTGGTAGCCATCCAGCTCGCTTCAGGTGGATGAGGGCTCTCAGAGAAGAGCCTTGAAATATGGCTTTTTAAAAAAGATATGCTAATTTTATGTTGAAAAGTTTAGTCAGAAGTCAACCAACCTGTAGTCAGCTCATGACTAATTATTCTATTTGCTTGGCCAATCATCTCCCAAGCAAAAGAATAAAGGACACAATAAGCTGTATTATACCTCACACATGGCTGAGCACTTGGATAGTTAATACTGCCAAAACTGAGAAACATTTTTATTATCCTCAAGGGCGGGCCCTCTGTGATCCAGGAGTATGGAAGAGGCAAAATATAAAAGACAAGGCAACAGTTCCACAACAACATAATCCCATCCACTGTACTATTGCCTCTAATCAGGAAAACACCAGCCACCGAATAATAGCATTGCACACAACAAGAGAGTGGCTTTTAAAGAGCAGAATGATTTAGATGGCTATTCCTTGACACAGGATCCCACCTCTTGTACAGATCTGCCTCTGCCTCAGATGGCTTCCGACCCAAGGAGTCAACTGTTGGCGGATGGACCCCTGCGGAAAAGGACAGAAGGATTATTATTATCATCAGCATTATCATATGGCATTGTGTGTAGTATAGCCAGGAAATCCTAAGATTGTCTGGCAGCCACAAGTTCTAGCTCTTTTAGTATTATACACCACTAGGTAGTGAGCTAGACTAGTTTTTGAGGCAAGTGACATTTCAGAGGTGGTTTGCCATAGCCTGCCTCAGTATCAAGACCTGGTATTCCTTGGAGGTCGCCCATCCAAGGCCAACCCTGCTTAGCTTCCAAGATCTGACAAGATCGGACTAGCCTGGGTCATCCAGATCAGGGTGGACAGAAGGAAAATAATAATACTGGAAGAAAAACAAGGTAAGAGAAGCAAAGAATCTTATAAAGCAGCTGAGCTAAATTAGAAAGTGACCTAATATCAAGAAAGAATTCAATAACAGGAGAAGTCTCCCTGCAATCTAACAACAAAACAGAACAAAATACTTCTGAAACTATGTGTGCCTTAAACATGGTACAAAGCAGGTGGGAACCTGGAGGTTCATCCTCAGAGCATGGTAAGTGTTACAAAGACTGAGCATCCCTCATATAGACACTAGCAAAGCTAGCCAATCAGCTAATTTAAGCCATGTTTTATTTATCACAAAAAGGTAAGTTTCTGGCTGATTCACCAATCCACAAATCATGCTTGATCCTGTAAAACAACAGGATTAAGGGCCTATTGATAATGAGCCAAGAATACACATTTGTGCATTATGAAGGAAATCAAGAACCAGCTGACTTGTATAAGTAAACTATTCACAGGAGACCATTCTCTGCAACAAGCCTTTAAGCACAAATGAAACAGCTGAGCTCCATCGAATTCTTCTGCTCCTTTCTTGCTTGGCAACATCTGGAATTGGCTCATGAACCTCTGAAAATCCAGGACTATACTACACGTCTATGGTATATCCCTCAAAATGCAAGAAACTCATATACTTTTTTCTAAAAAAAAATGCCAACCATACATGTGTTCAGAGTTGTAAGAATTGCTCTCCTATAACCGATGCACCAAAATATTACTTCTCAGAAATGCAAGCATATATAACACAGGTACTACTGGTGACCTAAACAACAGAAAAAAGAAAGCTTGGATAGGCTAAATTACTTGCTCTGAGTTCAGAGCCTCAGTGAATTTACTGCCTCAATTTCTGCCGGCAAAAGCTTTGGATTTCATAGAATTCTGGACCAGGCAGACCATAAAAACACAGCACAGGAGATCCCTTGGTTCTAAATAATATACACTGTTCTTCCTGTCTAAAACAAATAATATTGATGACATTCACTAATAATTTTTTTTTATATTTTTGCATTTGTGTGCCCGTGCCTGGAAGTCATGGCAACCTCTGGCGACTCCTACTGGGATGTGGAGGGCATTCAGAGAAGCGGCTTGATAGCCTGCCTCTGGCCTCCCAGCCCTGGTGTTTTCCGGAGGTCTCCCATCCTAATACTTGCCAGGATCGGTCCTCTTTAGCTTCCAAGATCTGATGTGATCAGGCTCACCTGGGCTATCCAGGTCAGGGCAGACATTCACTAAATTGAGTCAGCTGGGCTGGAAGAAGGAGCTGGGACAAAACAGCTGGCGAGGAGAATGTTGGTTTTGCTTTTCCTAAACAGCTAGGGAGCATTAACTGAGGCTGCTGCGTGAGTGGACAGTGTGTAAGGGGGAGGGCTTAGAGCCTGCTGGAGAGGGGTTTCTGATGGCTTCTGTGTGGTTTTTGTCTGGTTTGTTGCGAAGAGAAGAGGGCCTGTTTGCCCAGGGTTGGTAGCTGGCCCTGCCCTCTGCTGTTACTTTGGCTGTTGAGAGGTGGGGGCTGTGAGCCTTTGAATTGCAAGGCTCCTCCTCACCAGAGACGTGAGCCTTTGGCGAGAGCGAAAGGGCTCTTGCCCTGTGGCTTTTAGCCTGGGGATCGGGCCTGGGGATCCCATTAAGTAGTTAAGAAAATTGTACATTGTTGTGCTTTACCCCTTTTGGGTCAGGTAGCCATTTGGTCAGTTCTTTATGTTTCAGGGAACATCAACACACCAAGATATTTCTAGGTGAAAGAATCCACTTGGGAAGTGATGATGAATGCTCATGGACCATTTCCAGTCACCTGTGGGGAGTGTGCCATGTTTGTCTTCCTCCCTGAAGATAAAATGGACTACACTTATCAGAAGTGTAAGTTGATAGGACTCTTAGAGGAGACAGTTTGGAACACAGAGGAAAGGATTACTATTCTCCAGGAAATCAAGGAAGGGCAGGAGTTCACTAACAGAAGCCTTGATGTCCTGCATAGGGAAGGAGAGACCAATCAAAGGGACAACAGTGTGGTAGACTGCCCCAACAAGGCTCCTCAGAGTGCCTGGGCAAACACTTGTCAGGGATGCTCTAGGGCAGAGCTGTCAAACCTAAGGCCTGCGGGCTGGAACCAGCCCACCCAGAGCTTTATTCAGGCCTGCTTACAAATAAAAGGCTGATGTTTTGAGCCAGCTTGTCTCTGCTGAACTGACCTGAGAATGGGTGCCTTAGTGAATAATCTAACCTGGGAACCCACAGCCAAAGGGGGACATTACACTGGAAAGCCACTGCCACTCCAAGTAGACCTGGGGGGGGGGGTGTTTTGCAATGACCAGCCATTTCATGTTTTCCTAGGTTCACATTATTTTATATTTTTAGGTTTTATTTTTAGTTTCTGCTGTGATCCTTGTGCTTTTTTTGTTTTATTTAAAAAATTGCATTGCCAAATCCCACTATTCCTGCACCTTTCCATTTTAGATAGGCATCTTTGGGGGGGGGGAGTTTGGGAGGTGTCAGTTATCAAAGACTGTTAAATAAAATATGGCAAAAGGGTTAGCATTTTAAGCATGTGTGTATTTAAAGTTTAAAGACCCCTTTAATTGTGTTTGTCGGTATCCTTTATAAAGTTAATATCTTCGCTACCTGGCATTACATTTTATGACACGCATAGCCTGGCCCGACAAAGCCCCATTTATGTCAGATCCAGCCCTTGTAACAAATGAGTTTGACACCTCTGCTCTAGGCTAATCCTGCATTAAGCAGGGTGTTGGATTAAATGGCCTGTATGGCCCCTTTCGCGGAGCTGTGGTGGTGCAAGTGGTTAAGACACTGAACTGCAGGCTGTGGAAGGTCAGTAGTTCAGCAGTTCAAGACCCGGGTGCCGCATGACGGAGTGAGCTCCCGTCTCTAGTTCCAGCTCCTGCCAACCTAGCAGTTCGAAAGCAAGAAATTGCAAGTAGATGAATAGGTACCACTTCAGTGGGAAGGTAACAGCGTTCCGTGCGCCTTGGTGTTTAGGCATGCCGGCCACATGACCACGGAAACATCTTCGGACAGCGCTGGCTCTTCGGCTTTGAAACGGAGATGAGCACCGGAACCCTAGAGTCGGATTCGACTGGCTTTCGAGCAAGGGAACCTGTACCTTTACCTTTTATGGCCCCTTTCAGCTCTGTGATTCTATGATTCTAAATGTTGGTGGGATGAAACTGAGGGGAGGAGAACAATGTGAGTCAGTTGGGGTCCCCATAAGGGAGAAAGGTGGAGTATAAATGAAGTAAAATAAATAAATTATTGCTCCCATGTTGCCTATGGAAATAGGGGGTAGCCAGCCTTAGCAAACGCATGGCTCAGCAGACCTTACAGCTCATTCTCTTAACTATGCAATAATGCTGGTCCCAAACACACTGCATTATGTTAGAGGGTGCAGAGCTAATACCTACTTGGATGCAACGCAAGTCCAAATGAAATCAGTACAGTTATTAAAAAACAACTATGCTCAGAATCTGGGCAACAAAAAGAACATCATGGGCATGCAAACAGTATCGCTAATGCAACTGCTTTCTTCAAACTGGCTATTACTTGATGAATATAAGTGGGCTGTCAACAGGGCTACTTAGTCACCTGTCACTGAGATGAACACTGTAAAAACTGTACACAGCACAGAGAGCAGACCGATGCAATACCTGTGGACAACTTAGATTCCCCTTCTGTAACTTCTGATGAGGATGGAGGAGAAGGAGATGTTGATTGCTGGTCCCTTTTAGGCTGGTGAGGTTCCTTCATTCGGTTCACCACATCTTCAGAAAGCTAATAAAATTTTTAAAAAGATTAGGGGCAGCAAGACGAAGAGCAGTAGAATTTCACCTTCCACAGCTTAGAATTTAACTATTTAAACAGGAAGAAAAGAACACTAATTAATATACTACAATTACAGAATTTTGGTGGTATTAAGCAAAAGAAAAGAAATTCTAATTGTATAACTCTATGTTGCTTAGGCCTCCTCAGATAGAAAGCAAGAACAAGGTTTTTAAGCCATTTCTCTCTAAAAGCACACACACATTGTGGTCCCTGTTTTAAAAAAAATTGAGACATTTGAGCTGAAACACATTCAACTAAAACTTAAATTGCGTTTTTAATAAAGCCTCTTTGTTCTTCACAGGTTTAAATGAGATTTCATTGCTAAATGCCTCTGAACAATTTTGAAACACTTTTTAAAAAAAATTAACACACTCAACTAATTTTAGCGCTAACCATGAAAATATGCTCTGCATCAAGGATTATCTTTTATCTGAGACAATCTAAGGGTCAAACCACACAAAAGAATAAATGTACGCATTAAGAACCCCAGCAAGTTTTCTCCCCTTGCAGAAAGAGACTTTTTCAAGAGGAAAATCTGGAAGAAATTAAGAGTCAGGGAAGGAACAGGG